CTCTCTCTCTCTCTCTCTCTCTCTCAATGTCTGCAGCTTTGGTGGTAACCAGAGCTATCCCTAACTATTCTCCATCTCGTGCCTTTGTACTTTCCTGGTGAAGCTGGTCAGTGTACTATATGACGGCACCATTTCATGGCTGATGCGACGTCTATAGAGGACAGCATATCACTCTACAAGCGGACTGGGTCCCAGTGGTGCTATGCCCATGCTTAGAAAGCGGCCTGGTCTTCGCAATGGCGAGGTTTGAGCTTTTAGTCACCACTAGCACTAGGTTCATGCTTACGAAGCAAAATTCTGGTCTCAGAACTGACCAGGTGCATGCCCTCTTTGCCTGCGCTCTTGGTCTTGAAAAGGAGGTTAGAGTCCCTCTAGTAGCCGTACGCTAGAAACGAAGAGCTTGAAATTTGGTAGTATTCAAGTTTCAACTGAGGCCTGCAGTGCTTCACATACTATGAAATTTGAATGATAAAAAGCCACTTTTCTGGTTAAACTCTTCCCTTCCCAAATGAGTGAGCAATTCGCAAAGAATCGAAAAGTGTCTTCCATGCGGTAGAGAGTTGCCTTGCATGCGAAGCACTGCACTGCAGGCCTTGAAATGTGGGTGGGGACTGGCCTGCAGTGCAGTGCTTCGCATGCAAGGCCTGCAGTGCGCATGAGTAGAAGGGTTGAGTTGATGAGGAGGAGTTGATGACGCCATGATAATAAAACTCACATCATCTTCTTCTATGATTTCCATTTGTGGTGTTTGAAGTAAGGCCTGCAGTGCGCATGCAAGGCAATTCACTACCGCATGTGACTTTTGCAAAGTTCACGCAAGCACTGTACTGCAGGCCTTGAAATTTGAAAAGTGGTATTCAAGTTTCAACTGAGGGGCTGCGGTGCGCATGAACTTTGAAAAAGTGACACGCACTTGTCAACCGCGTGGTGAAAGAAAAGATTACAGAGAATACAAATGTTGAAATGTTCTTCTCATTAATGACCGCATGTTTGCAAAGATATTTGTCGGCTTGAAGAGTCGATAAGGCTGGTACGCGGGCATACTTGGATTTTTTTTTTTTTTTTTTTTTTCATTAATCACCAGTACTTGGCCCAGCTATGGGCGGCCGAAAAGAAAATAGAGTAGAAACGTTTCGAGCCGGATGAATGTGGGCGCTCCTGTAGTGGCGCGTACGTGTCCTGAAATTGTGGCTTGTTAATGGGCGCAACTTTAAGAAGTAATGGTGGTTTAACAGCATAATGAAGATGAATGAACTGGAAGGGTTGAGAGAACTTGAGAGAATTTTTTTGTGTTTTTTGTTGCGAACTTGCGATAGTGCGATCCTTTTTTTTTTTTTTTTTAAAGCAGTCTAGCTGTTAGGAGGGGGGTGATATGAGCAGCCCCGCCTAGCAGCCTTTCTGGTTGCTCTAGTCTATTGGTGGGGAGTGTCACCTGCTGGAAATGTCCAGCATCCCTATACATACCGCGGGAGTTTCCTTGGGTACATCGGAAATATTGAGGAGAACACACCTCGCTACCCCCTACCAGCCTTGGTTACCCCATATAGCTGGGGGATTATTGACTGTACAGGGCGGGGACCTGCCCAAAAAAGGGGGGCGTTTCAAATGGAATAAGCTGCTCTCCTAAAATCATTCCAATGGCTGCTAATGTTGCCAAGTTGGGCGCAGCTTGAAAAGCGCCTACTAAAATCAAAAACTCACCAATAAAGCTACTAGTGCCTGGCAGACTAATATTGTCTAAAGTAAAAAACAGGAAAATAGTAGAGAAGATCTTGCGATCGTGTGTGTATGTACAAAATAAAAAATTGTTTCGACTGCAATTGATCTGGAAGTTATTTTAATTGCGTGCGATCAGAAGGATGTTGTGCCTATTGTCAATGTAAGATGGTATAGAGACCGATGTTTTTGCATTTTGATTTAGCATATTCTATGCTGGGCTGCCGGGCGGGCCATCCGGGCAAAGGAGGTCCGGCACGGGACCCACCAGGATGGCCTGGAGGGGCCACTGGGCCGATCGGCTCAGAATTTAAACCACCACTCCCCCCGCCAGCCTAAAGTCGATTTTCCGGGGAGTTAGGGCCGTGAACGGCGGGGGGTCGGCGACCAAAAAAAAAAAAGAAAAAAAAAAAGAAAAAGAAAAAGAAAAAAGAAAAATGAAGTTGTGAAAAAGTCGGCGTGCGGTTTTCAATTCAAGCGCTGCACTTTTGATCTTCTTTTGTTCTTTTTTGTGCGGAAAAAAAACAAAAAAAGCTACGCGGTGAAGCTTGCAGCACAACACGGAAATATACACCGCAATCATCCACGCATGTCAGGGGCAGTGGATTGAGGCACGAAATGCGGTGGCACCTTGTTACATGCTGTACAGGCCCCAACCTGTTTCCCTACAGGGAAACTTCCAGGCTCTTGCCTGGAAGCTTCCTTCTGACAGGGCCTACAGGCCCCAGCCTGTTTCCCTACAGG